GGGGGGGGGGGGGGCTGGAAGGGGCTACAGCCCTTTTTAGTCGGGCAAATTGTATCCATACAAAAATTTTAACATGTAGACAACGATAATTATTGTTGTATAATATACAATGTGTTTCATTGGAACAAATTGCATAGCATTACTTGAAGTTGCAACTATTTATATGCCCAAAATAAAAAAACCGACATTCAATATAAACGTCCCAATATGGAATTGGGAGGGGGCGAAGTGCAGATGCTTCGCATAACGTTCTTGCCTTGCCCTTGGCTACAGTATCATGAACAATATGTATCAGTTGACATCAATCATTCATTATTATTAAAAACGCTTCATTTTCAATCGAAAATTGTCTTAAAATCCTTTCAGTTACAGCCAAAAACACATTAATTAAGTTAAAATGGTTGCTGTCAAGTACTGAAAACGCGCAAGTGCATGAGCACTTTCAAATCGAAAATTTTAACTGAACATATTAATTTTAATACTCCTATATCCATCACTACGTTTACTTATTTTTCCTTTTTTAATTTTTTGTCAAATATTGAGCTTTAATTTTACTCTATGCCCCAACCTTAAAAATATACTTATAGTATAATATATACATTTCAGCGAAGCCAAATCAGTGTGACCATCAATTGTTCCAGTGCCGTCACAGTAAACGATGGTGATGACTTCACATGTGTGTGTAGAGGTGAAGGTGGAAACCCCCCAGCTGATGTAACTTGGTATGATAAAGATGGCGTCCAGATTGGTGGAACAGGAAAAGAAGAACAAACATTGACTCTCAGTAACGTTGATGGAACAAACAGTGGAACATACAAGTGTGTGGCCCAAACCCACACTCTAACTGATGAAAAATTAGTCGAAGTGAAAGTAAGACTTGATTGTAAGTATTGTTGTAAATATATGCGTGTTTGCAAGTAAATATTTAAACTGGCGCATGGCGTGTGCACATACCACATATGCAAATTTAGAAACTGTATAAAAAGGACATGCATGTTTGAACTAGTGCTGCGTATGTTTTGAAGTGAAGAATATATAATAACAACCTTGTGTCCCGCAAGTTGTTGTTCCATTTAAATGAGTGAGTAAATTATTTATATTTCCCATGTGTTTCATGCATACACGTTCCATGCATGTTATCAATAGGTAACATGCAGTATCGTCTTTGACTGAAAAACTCGTCGTATTTTTAATATCATATATTGCCGAAACCATATTTTATACTACTTTGTTTTCTATAGTTCCACCAGAAGAGCCATACTTTAAGGATAAAGCGGTTATTGGTAAAACTTTTGCCATAACTTGTGAATCTAATGGTCATCCTTCACCAAGTTATACCATAATCCATAATGATACCAAGATCGTCAGTAATGGCAAGACGTATAAAATAGATGTTGTGCAGTACAGTGATGCTGGGTTTTATAAATGTATTGCCGAGAATAAACTTGGAAATAGTTCAACGATATACTATTTATCTATCCTAGGTAAGATTCAACATTTTCAAACAAAAACTGTTTTTACAACTTATGTTCACCACCTCTCATTTTACTACTTCATTATTAGTAATTATACATTGTCTGCCGCATTCGCTTCAAAATTTCGACTGTAATGAAAGTGAAAGTGTAATAACATTAACTCAATATGTTTAGATCAATTAAAAAATCCGACAACTGGTATTAGCACTCAAAATTTCTCCACTACCGAGAATTCTAGATCAGGTATAAGATATATACTTGTTCAGAAGTTATATACACTTTATAAAAGCAAGTTGAATAGACTATATATTTATTGATGTAAACTATCTTCCTAAAACAATAGTTTCTATAACAAGCCCCCCTGACCTGAGCAAAGCTAGTGTTATTTTGCTGCATGGTACAGATATTGCAGGGGGGGTTGTTGTTTTACCACTACATTTATCGTTACTACATACATGGAGGTATAATCAAACTGGGAGAAGCATGCATGAACAGCATGTTTTGTGATCCGAGACCACTATAATAAACATTAACTCAAAAATCATAGCGGATTACATCTATTTCTTTATACCCTTTTTAAAGTTTGTATGGCGTTGTGTTTATCAGTTTCAAATATTTCTGTTCAATCAATACAGCAACCAACAAAGACGATGATGGGAAAATTGTTGTAGTATGGCATATTGTTGTGTCTTTGGTGTCCGGGATTATCATTGGAATTCTTCTTTCCTACATTGTCTCATGTTCTCGTCGTAAATTTAGAAGTAGAAAGCCTAAGTCAAACCCTGAATCAAAAACAACTGAAGCTGATACAACGTATCAAGAGCTAGATCTTTCAAAAATGAACACAGAAGATAATTATCAGTTCGTTGAGAGTGAATGCTGCAAGTTATGACGCTGGAAATCGAGTTGGCAATGACGATGACTCTACTTACACTGAGTTGAGCAAAACCAGAGATGCGGAAGACAACTATCAATCTTTAACTTGAACCTGGAGTATCATTTTAAAGATAAAAAGACATCTCCATCGAGATCACATGCATGTAACGGATGGATTAAACCCACAGAAACCTTTAGAAATGCCTGCGGAGAAGGCCAGATTAACAGCCAAGGAAGATGTTTTTATTCAAACTGTGGGCCTGCTCCAAGGTTCTTTTTTATCGAATAATTTTTCTTTTTTATCGAATAATTTTTCTGGAATGGCCGCGACTGTGGATTCTTTTATGAAACAAAATTAGCTTACCGCTTTTTTGGGACTTCATATTGACGTGTTTAATGTGCAAAGTGCGTTCGCCTTATCCTGAAAAATATTGCTACAATCCTGGTTGTGGACAACCCACAGATATTGGCTTCGAATCGCGTTTCTCGAAATAAATATCCCCCGCTTCCCCAAGCCAATTTTTGAATGGAATTTTTCATCAAATAAGAAGTGTAGATAATGCAGATATACATCATTGAAGAGGGGGGTGGGGGATATGCGTGTAAATTCAAGTTTTAAGTGTTTGTCGGGATTTTTGAAAAAGTGAATTAGGTGTCCCCATGAACGTTGACCTGGATTGTAGTCTGATATAAATTGTAACATATCAAACATCGGTCGAGTAAATTTTAGGCCAAGTTTTTCTATATATTTTTGAATATTCTATATTGCTGCAGGAATTTTTTCATTTTCCCTGAATATTTGCATCAATTTGCATGAATTTTTTTTGGGGAACAACCACCCCAACCATTCCATGACAACCACATATATTATCAGAAATGTTTCCTTACTCTGGCTCTGGTTTGTAATCCCTCAATATGATACATTCACAACCACAACGCAATCCAGCTTGCATGTTTTAGCAGGAAATACTTTATATTACCCATCAACATCGATTTCTCTTTGACTTATGGCCAGTGACGAAGCCAGCCCGACAATTTGGTCATGCTATGCAAATTTCAAATCATCATCATTTGAATTATTCATTTCTTTAGAAATTGATTCTTTTCACGGTCTATATTTGCATAGCATGACCAAGTTGTCGGCTGGCTACGCCACTGCCTATGGCATATGGCCATTGGTACTGGTTCCGCAAATTTTCGTATTAAACTGTTTGATGATTTTTTCAGTTATCCCGCTAACAGTTAATCCCACACAAACACACACGCAAAGGCACAAAGAAACCGAAAACGCTTGAACTATCAACCCTTGAAGTTATCTGAATTAATTTAATGAATTAATCATAACTTTAGAAATCAATCCAAAGGGGCATGCAGGTAGTGTGTTTCATGTACTATTTAAAAAACGAGCAGGAGTGTTTTATTAGGTTTAAAGCCACGAGCGCGCAGCGCGAGTGGCTTTAGACCTAATAAAACACGACCTGCGAGTTTTTAAATGGCTTCAAAAACGTTTGCATAATAAGTCAAATCTTTATATAAAAATATTTATATAAAAATCTTTATATAAAAGTATTTATATAAAAATCTTTATATAAAAATCTTTATATAGTTTGCATAACAATGGTCTTTTGTTAAAGTGTTCTTTAGCTGGTATAAAGACGTATGCACGTCACTAATTTCTTACTCAAGATTGGATAATTGCTTCATGAATTATTAATGAGTTTTTGAA